CAGCGTGCCCACCATTTTTACCATACAGGCGATAAAGATGCCAAATTCACTCGCTCTAGTAATTAGTTTCTTTCAAATCAATTTGTATTCGGGATCTTCAGTGAATGGTGTTTATGCTCACAAATCAATAATTTGAACTGGTACTTTCCTGTTGAAAGAGATTTCATAAAGTGCAACCTTAGAATGCCGAGACCTTAATAACACACGCAATTAATTGGGCTGCAGAGACTCGCCCAAATAATAGCATAACGAAGCAATCGGTGAGTTTTCATAAGTTCCTCACTCATATTATCAACACGTCCAAGCAGTACAGCAACAATTACTAGGAGAAGTTATACCATGGAGGATGATTGACTCTTGCTAGGAGTCCTAACCCCTTCAGATGCACGGCAGTGACAGAGACACCTTTTCGCAAGGAGGTTTGTGGAAAGTCCTCACGACAGCTAATGGCTGCTGCTGTGGTCGAGTTTCTACGCAGCAGTGTTTCTCTTGCGCTTGAAGTGCCTTCTTGGTTTTTCAGTGATAGTGAGATGGTGTTTGTATACGTGCAACGTGATGTGGCATTCCTGGGCAATGTAATCTGGAGTGAGGTTCCGAATTGTTTCGTTCTTCTCGCTTTTCGCGAATTTATTTGCAGTAAGGGTTTTGAAGAAGACTCATTGAGGCAATCTCAGGCGATATTTACTCACTCCAAATTACCTATGCAGAGTAGATCATGTAGTTCTTTAGGGGTGTTTCCCCCCCCCACTTCAAATTCCATGATCCCTGGTTGGTTCTCGTTGCTCTCCGTAGTTACGGTATCCTCAATAGAACTTCCAACGTTCATATTATCGGCAAAGCGAAACGTTTGCTAATGAGTATATGGGTACGATGCGTAGGACGCCTCGACGTGCATTCAATAGAGGGCGATAACGGATGCTAGCTGTGGCGTCATGCTAGAACGCAGGTGATGAATTACACGAATAAACATCTTTTCATAGAGGAATTCAATTTCGATTATGATGATCCACATTTATCTCATTGAAAAGTTAAAAATTTCAATTGAAATTGTATAAGGGTGAATCTTGAACAATACCTTGAATATCCCCTTGACCATACTCTTCCACATCAACGGTGAGTTTTCCGGTCTCCAAAGACAACGAAAAGAGTCAAGGATTCCATCTACCGCGCTAGTTAGAGGAAGGCTCAGATGGTTCCACAAGCTTCTTGGAGGCCCTATTCCCAATTAGTTTTGAATGCTCTGGAAAAAGAGATGCATTGAATATCTTCATTATGATTGTGCATATTTGTGCACACGTGGAAAACTTCGTATTTGTCTGGTATGCATTCTAATCCCGTCATTTCGTACTAATGTTGTACTTGTACACAGTACAATTGAATGCGGAGAAATTGAAGCTAGCAACGAACGACAATCAGTACACCTTGTTCCTTCCTCGCAATGAGGCATTGATTTCCCTTTGATATTCCTCTCACAAGGAAGGAACCGTATAACTTCGTAATCAAATAGGCCGCTTCAGAGATTTGTAAATAGCAGTGGATCGTCCCGAGATGGGGCGTGGTCGGTTTGAATAGGGCGTGATGGGAAGACGACTGGTGCGTGAGCGCGCTTTGCCGGCCTTTGAAAGCGTATACAAAAGACTGAATAGAGGGAATGGAGCGGTGGATTGAAAAGAAACAATGCGCTGTAATGATTGGCCTCCACAATGCGCCGCATAAGCCATTATACAGAGTGTGCAAGAGAAATCCTGCGGCTCATCGCATAGTGGGTTTTGATTTCACCTCGCTCGTACTCTTAGTGTCGGTCGGTTCATCATTTCGTAGTTCATCGCTGTGCGCATATTGTTCTTCTGTTGTGTTAACTACGGTACAGGTTTGTTGTCACCAACGCACCCTCTTAATCATTTCGTCATACGGTATCTGCGCCACGTCCGAATATTGATATTCCTTGAGCTACAGTACATTTTCTTCTTCTTCTTAAACCTACTGATACACGTTCCACGCTAGAATATATAGCAAAAGCTTGAGATCGTTATGTGGCAAGGAGCAGCCTTGTCATGCTCTCAAAATCTCGAGTTATCCAAGGATTTATCGAAAGTTATGAAGTTTTTCTGATAGAAATGAAATGTGGATGAAATTCCAAAAGTTTACCTAATAACTTTTCAGCTACTCATAATAAACACCGTAGAATTATAGACAATAAGCGCTTGAATCAATCATTTTTTTGGAAATTTCTTGAAATCGTCGTTTACGGTGCAACTGGCTGTTCAAGGTTTGGCATTGATCGTTTTGACCTTGTCCATTAGGACTGATGCGTGAATGAGAGTTCATCCGACTCTATACATTAGCTCTGTGATCGTACTTTCGCATGTTCTCCCATCGAAATGTAAAGCTGTGCGTTGTTTGAATTTTTTTTTGCCATCAGGTAGTGATTTGGACGTAGCAAGTAACCGGTGCTAGCAGCTATGGGGCGTCAAACAACCTACAGATCTTCCTGTACCTCGTAATGTTTTTCCCCTATTAACTGCTGCTGCTACCAATGAAGTGTCTGGTTTCTGTGCCCTCGTTCGCGATATTGGCAACTTAACTTGCCTCACGTTGCATGCATTAGTGTATTCACAATAAAATTTTCCTAAAAAAACTTTCCTAAAACCTCCATGACAGATTGTGGCGACCCTGTGGGAGCTTCAATGTCAGATCTGCGATGAAGTTAACGTTAACTAGTGTATTAACTCTTATGCCGTATGTTTATTTCATGCGAAATATTGCTCCAGAGAGCTAATAATGATGTGTGTGTGTCTGTTCTCTTTATTAGCACATCCAGCCATGTTCTCATTATGAGGCGACGTGGTTGAATAAATTTTCGAAGCGAGAGCACATTCGTATATGATTTTATCCAATTCTGTAGTTATGTACACGTGTAGTCCTTACTATACTTGAGCAAGGGCACGTCTTACGTTGGGGAATCCCCAGTGAGGGAGAGGGGAGGATCGCATTTGGTCCCTTGAATTGAGGAGCGGGGTCGTAGTTGATCTGAGAAAATTTTTTCAGATAGTCGATTATACCCCAACCCCTTCTTCCCTTCCCCGCTCGACAGCTTTGGTGAAAGTTTGGTGAAAAGTGGGAAAAATTAAAATCCCCGAGAATCCGATCTCCAAAATGCGGAAATTACAGCAGGGTAATAAGTTGGGGATATTTAGGAAGATGTAGAAAACTGAAATGGTAGGTAGGACGAGGGAGAGGTCGCATAAGAGGACGAAAATGAGGTGGGGTATCAAATTCCCAGAAATTTTCCTCAGCGGTAAGACGTGCACTGACTTCATGGTTCGGTTCTCGAGTTTTGTCCGCAACTTGTATACTTCTAGTACATTCTTTTTTTCTCAGCTCAGCTAAACTTCAAGGCTCAATACATTATGTGATGTTTGGATACGTGATCGTTGTATGAGTGATGAAATACGTATATAAGTGGGTTGCATCTACTATATGCGCATTGACTGTGAAGTCAAGATTAGTTGGTTATCATCTCTAGGCGCTGTTTGTCGACGGGGGGGGGCATTTTGTATTATCATTGCTTCCCTAGTTCCGGTTTACAAATCTCACTCTGGTAAAACTTGTGAACTCTTGTGAAGCTGAAGTAAGATCGTCTAGCCACTATCCTAAAACGTGTCAACTCGAGAAACGGCTGCCTAGATGGGTCGACACATCTATGGAAAGCAAAATGCCCCCCCCCCGTCGACAAACTGCGCCTCATCTCTATCCCTCTTTCTTCTCTATCATTTGCCAAGTCTCAGTTACCAAAGTTGCTGATACTTGTGTGCTGAACTCAAAGACTGTTCACTTGAAATATCAGTGGAACCGATTTTCATCAATTTTGCTCATGAAACGCGAACGGATTTCTCTTTATGTGGAAGCACGAGTTTCAGTTTTGAGACACTTCAAGTGAGCTCTGTATCCTCGACCAAAAATTAACTGTCTGATTCATCGTACTGAAATAAGTGGAACATTTACTGATGTGAATGTGGACGTTTACTTTGTAGATCTTTTATATGCACTTTACGTTTGCCTCAACCGTTGTAGGCTTAGTCTGCCAGCATAGTTATCACAAATCCCCTCCTTTCGACTACATGTTTTTACTTTGACATTAACAGTCGGTAGGATGTAAGAAAAGCTCTGAGCAGGATTATCCCGTTCACCCTGCTACTATCGTGCAGTTATCTATTCGTAGTAGCACAATTGCATCACTGATGAGCGAGACTTCTCGGCGCAGCTAGGGTACTGTAGGTTTGGTAAATCGATTTATCTTGCTTTACTGCCAGGGTAAACATGATTTCATTTCGTCCTGACAAACATCGACGCTACAATGACTGAACGAAGTAGAAAGGTCGACTGTACGGTTGCGAATGAGCGACAAAGGGCCTTAGCTGTCACTCTTTTCCTATGGGCTGAAGGGTAATCAGCAAAGTGATGATTGTGGGTCAGAAACGAAACCCACCGCGAACTGGCGACACTTCAGCACTGAATCATCAAAAGATTAGCGCGCGATTAAGCGATTTAGGGAGTCGCGGCCTTCAAACCATAAACGGATTGTGGATAACTTCGCCACCATTCTCATACTCTTGGAGCGAATGCAACAATGAAGGACAAAAAAAGTAACTGACAAGAATACAACATTGTCCGACCATTGAGGCAGTTTTGAAGATTTCTGAATTAAAAGTCGACGTTCAGACAAGCTCAACTGTGTCAATACACAATGTGTTGCCAGCTGATGTATTAATTGCATTTTTTTATTACGTTTCACTGTGTTAACAGTTCAACTGCGGCCGACCAACTACTCAAAAATGGTTGGTTTTTAACCCTTGAAGTTGTTTTATCGACCTATTCAACTGCTGATTGCTCACATTATACTACTTATCAACCAATACAGCTCATGCATCGGTTTTTCAAGATGTCGAGCCATCCAGCTCATGATTGTAAAATCTCATTGGAATGGAGGCAGTTTTGTTATGATCGAACCTCGCTGGCACCTGAAAGCATCGACGGCTCAGACGGTAAGAAGGACACGCCCTTGCTCGCGTTTGATTGGCGGAATTGTGTTGCGCCGCCTACTTCTGTTGGGGCGCACTCAGGCGCCGATCTTCTATTGTGTCGGCGTGCTGGTGTCAAGCCCGTTCCGCCTCTACCGATCATATCTTGAGTTCTACGAATTGTTCTTCTTCGTGACAACATCATCGACAATGATGAGTATGATGGAACATGAACTCAAACAGGTATGTCAACACACTGAGATTCCTTTCCAATATTAAAGTATAAGTAAATTTAACATAATTTCGCAGATGTCCGACTACAATCAAATTTGGTCAGGTGTGGGTGGTTTTCATCTACCACCTACATCTACAAGTAATTTGGCTACCCAGAATGTTCCTGACGATCTCTCACCCGCTCCTGATTCACCAGATTCTTCAAAGGATGGGAAAAAGAATGATGACAGGTGTGAATTCTCTTACGAAAAAGTTTCTTACACTACGACAGACGCCACAGAATGGAATAACTTCCATCTCCCTCATGAATCGGTTCAATGAGTTGATAGTTTTGCAAGCGAACGCTAGCGGTGTTTTTTTTTTGCCTACAGCGCCTTTCTATTGTCAACAAGTACTCATGATTGTGCATAAGAAAAACTTGCGCGTAGCTCTAGATTACAGTTTTTTACTACTATAACAGCTGTGTGAATAACTGTCTCATTCTGTAAAGTTCTTTGTTTTGAGTATCATCAAAGTTAAGGGGTAAAGTCAGCATCTTATTTAGGGTAAAACGTCCGATGAACGCATTTATGGTCTGGAGTAGGAGCAAGCGTAGATTAATGGCTCAGGTATTCTTCGTAATTATTAACTGATATTATATGGTATCAAATTCTATTTCTGCAGGAGAACCCTAAAATGCACAACTCCGAGATCAGCAAAAGACTAGGGGCTGAATGGAAGTGTTTGAGTGACACTGAGAAGAGGCCATTCATAGACGAGGCTAAACGATTACGTTCAATTCACATGAAGGTCAATGGGCTTGACGTGCTTTATTTAGTATAAGTGAATAAGGCATTGATTACACAAAATCTTCGTTACTTTTTAGGAACATCCAGACTATAAGTATCGTCCTCGAAGGAAAACGAAGACATTGCAGAAGAAAACACTTCCAATGGGACCTTTTGCAACATTGGATCCGTTAAAACCTCAGGTTTGCTGAGTATACTTTTCTTATTTGGTACTTTTCAATCCTGATGATTAGAGAAGCACGCGGAGTGGTTTTCAACAAAAGCTCTCTGAAAAGTCGTGATTTCCTACGCGTGCGCACGTTTCACACAATCAATGTTGCGCCACAGCGCCATCTGAATGCTGCTTTGTTCTCGACCCACTCATTCACACACCCTTCACCCCACTCTACCATTTCATACCGAATACAGCAACATTAGTTTCAGTTTATGGATGTACAGAAATAGGGTAATAATGAAACAACTCGTAACTTTCAGGTTTACAATTCCGTCCAATCATGGAATGGCAACAGCTCATATCCATTTGACACATCTTATGGTCTGTATCCCAGAACAGGATACGATATGCTCAATCAACTACCGTATCTTGACGGCTCACCATCACAGTACACTCAGTCTTCACTTGGTAGCGCGTACCCGGTAAACTACCTCACTCCAGCTCCTGTGGTGAAGTCCGAAGTGGAAACCTCACCTGAAAATTCGGAAATTTCTTTAGATCCTGGTCAATTCCGAGCATTTTATGATCCATCTAAGGATCATATAACATCGATGTATTCTAATCCGCTTTCATATTCGTCCCTGGAAAGCATGGGACTCACGCAAACTATGGCTCAGTCTCATGTCACCTCTTAAACGAATATGTGAGTTTGGAGGGGGCTACAGTTCAGTTTCACTCTCTTCTCTCTGAGTTGTGTTCTGTTTACGATTGATTTCTCAGGCAAATAATCAGAGTGAATGAAGATCGTGCTCAGAAAGGGCTCGCTAACTGTGCCACTGCTAGCGTTTGTATGGAACTCTAGCTAAAATAACTCAGTTGCCTAACAACGTATATTTATTGTATATGTGATAAAGTCTCAGTGTCATATATTACCTCGTAACTGAGTATGATAGGCAGTAAAGATCGAAGATCAGCTTCATTCGCTTAGGTGTTATACCGTGAAACAGGTTACTCAGAAGTGGTTTATGGGCTTCACGCATGTGCAGCTGTTTCTGTATTGATGCAACCTTTGACGGGCTCTGTCATTAGAATCACTTCCATCCACTGTGAAAAAAACTGAGAACCCATTCTATCCTACTTTATTTTAATGTTTTATGCGACATGCGCAATTATTTTGTACTCCATAAATCCTATTACATTGTTGCCGAGTTTCCTCTTCACCTACCTCTGCTATTGATAACACCTCTCATTACACGCTTTGAAAAACAAAACAAGTAGCCGTGTACTGATTCTCTGACAATTTGATGTGGCAGACTGCCTCAGATGTTCGTCATAGTAATTGTGCAATGGTAACAGGTGACACCATTGGTACAATACTCAGCTACACACCTGATTTATCGCTCTGAGCCACTATGAAAACGTGAGCGTTGGTAGGACAGCGGATCGTATTTCTATGTATTTTGCGGTAGCAAACCGGACAACGCTCACAACAGTTCGTCTCACAGAAACAACAAAAGAACAAAACACCACGAAAACGTCAAGTTATTACGCTTCTGAACCAATTTGTGCAATATTTTCACCCTGTTTTCATGTGAGAGACTTATACGAGTGTAATGCCATAACCTGGGCTCAGGAACAACTTCCACAGGAGAATTTTTTCCCCACTGCTACTTGAGCACATTTGCGTTGTCTTCATGATATGACCCCCATTTTTTTGAATCGCAGCTCCCCTAGTACTGTCTGCGATCAACATCTTTCAAAAAAGTAAAAGCACCGTGCTCTTATGCTTTTGCTTTTGAAAGCGAAACTTGTTTTGTATATTTCTGAGACTCGGAGCTTCGGAACAATTTCCGAATGATGAAGAAGTAGCAGTAGCTATGATGACCAAGAGAAACGGTAACATTACGTTCCATTCCTTTTAACCGTTTTGGATGATTACGTGATTGGCTCGGAAAGAGATGCTGTCACATCTGTGTTTCTTGTGTTTGTTGTTTTTTTTTTGCAGTTAACCATGCCAGCTTGCCGGGGGGTGTTCAATACCAAGGACTGCTCTCCACATCAACGCGAATAGCGCTGCGGGGTGTCCGAGAACCCGGCTAATCATGTTTTGATTTCACTCTTGAATATCGTATACGTACACCAATTTGCGGCTCGTTTCCTACCGTACATCAAAGGAATAACGGGTTAATGAGCAATATTTTTAGCCTGATGTCGCACTAACTTTGTATGAATCACGATCTTAAATATTTTGCCTAGGTTTTATGTGTCTAAGAGCTGCGATTTGAGTAGATAGAACATTTTGGGGAGCTCCTTATACCATTATTTCATTTCGTTGTTAGCGGTCAAATATTAGGTTACCTTCTCTTATGTTCAATACGTTTTCGCTTTTACTAGCAAGAAGTATTCCCAGCTTATCTCTTCCTGCAACAACGGCATGGTAAGTTGTTGCTGTTAGTTCTTGTGTGCCTTTTACGAGGTAGGTAGGTGAAACTCTCCATTGAATTTGCCTAACGTTTCGACCGATCGTCGTCTTCCAAGGTCCAATGTTCCACTTTCTTGAGCGGAAAGCCCCACTTTCACACTTGAGTTTTAGTAAGTGACGAATAGTGACAATAAAAATTATTCGTCACTCACTAGCTGGGCCTCCGAAGACGACGATTGGATCGAAACGTTAGGCCGATTCAATAATGTTCTCCCCTAACAACCTCGTAAAAGCAAATAAGAAGTAACACAAGCAACTAGCAAAAAGCATCTGATATTCGTTAGTACCATGGACAACTACAATTAGGATCGGCACACCTCGAAGGAAACCAAAGTGCCACCGTACTCTCATCGCGGGGTGCCCACGCCTCTACTAATTAGTCTCGCGCTATTGTTCGCAGGCCAATTGCTTAGTCCACAGGTCGGTCAACCACAATTGCCGAAACCATGATCGAAAGGATTACCTCTACTTTCATTCATGCATGAAGCAGAGGCTCAATCCAGAACATTATTACCTGTGGACGCTTAAACACTGCAAGAGATAACAAAAAAAATTATAATGAATGGTTCTGCATGAAATCCCCACGACCCACAGAAGCTAGCGCTGCGTTAACTTTCTCTTCGATTGATGATAATATTAGGTTGTCGGAAAAGTTCTGAGAAATTTACGCTATATCATTGAGCTAACTTTGGCTGAAAATGGACGACCACCACGTTCCAGCACTCCCTTTACCACCACTTTAACCGTTCTGGCTGCTCCACCAGCCGAATCGGTAATGAGGCACAATCGTCGATGCTAGACAAAACCTTTCCAAAATTATACGTAAGGCAAGCTGTAAACTTGACTTCTTGTGCCCCCCCCCACCGCTTTCTCGGTGTTCATTTTATTCTACACATCAGAACGGGAAGAAAGTCCTGCGACACTCTGACCATAGTTTTGGGCAAAATTCCCATTCATTATGCGATACCTCCAATCTACAACGTAGTCACGGTTGATAACTAGGACAAGTGCCCACCTTCCTCACAGTTTCTCGATTCCACCCTTAGGATTACGGCAACTACGATGAAAAGAAGAGGTAGACCTCATTTTCGGATACAGGTTGATTTCAAAATGTTTACTTTCCAAAGGATGCAATATGGATCAATAGAGGTGGCAGTTGACTTTTCTCCTTGAGGGAATCTGTAAAGGCTATGTGCATAGCTTACGCAAGGTGCCCAGCTCTCGTTACCAACTACAGTATTCCACAAGAAGGGATTCCATTGTGTATGTACAACGAACAGAAAACTCAGTCACGACCCCTCGGCGCACTTTGTCAGAGTGGTGCAGCTCATGTGGCATCTTTGATAAAAAATTTTCCCATAATCGAAATTGTGCAGGAGCACGATGGTTACAGATTGTTAGGTGAAGCCTAGAGATGCTGCCAGCTTAATGGTGGCTACGTCTGGCTGCGCCATTAAGGGGTTGAGTAAACGGCTGTCATTTTTCCATAATATGCCTGTCTGCAGAAACCTCAGAGAACCCTCTTCACTAAGTCGCAGATCTTTCTTTCCAACTGCACGCGAAGCAACCCCCCACCCCCCCCCCCCTTAAAGTAAGGGAAATGGAAAGGACTGTGTTTGTTGCAACTATTGATTGTTATCTCGTATTTCACAAGTGTTGAATGAACTGGTGATAAATTCCCAAAACTTTCCACACACCCTAACAGGTATTGAGTAATCTCACCCTCTCAGTAATAATCCAATCAAACTACTGACGACCTTAACGGAACAGAATTTGTGGATTCGTAAAGTTGAATCTGAAGATACTGCGGACATCACTCTGCCGTTACTTACTACATACAAAGCGAGAATTCGGAATCCCCTAAAAACAACCGACGGCATGAAACTCGAA